TGTGTGTGTGTGTCTGTGTGTCTCTGTGTTTATGTGTATGTGTCTGTGTCTGTGTGTGTGTGTGCCTGTGTGTCTGTGTCTGTGTGTATTTATGTATGTGTGTGTGTGTGTGGAGGGGGTTACAATTACAGGAAAAGCCCTCCCTGACCTCCTGTTGCCAAGAGAAAGGTGCCTCTACCTTCAACTTGGCAGAACAGAACAGAGTGGGGGTCAGGAGGGTGGGAGCTGAGGCCACAGCCAGGCGTTCCTCGGTGAGTGGATTCCCCAGACAGATCCTTTACCTCCCACCCTGCCAGCTCCTCCTCACACACCTATTTCCATTACTTCAGTGAGTGGCACCGTCCTCCTCCCATCCATCTGGGTGCAGAGCCCTAGAAACAGGGCCCGAGATGGCCTGGAAGGAAGGAGGAGAAGAGGACTCTGGGGCCACAGGCAGCCCCTCCCTGCACTCACTCCTCACCCGCACCTCCGGCCCCAGGCTCTCCTGTGGTCCTCTCCTGGGTCTCCTGTGGTCCCCTCCTGGGTATCCCGTGGTCTCCTCCTAAGTCGTCTGTGGTCCCCTCCTGGGTATCCCGTGGTCTCCTCCTAAGTCTTCTGTGGTCCCCTCCTGGGTCTCCCGTGGTCCCCTCCTGGGTCTCCTGTGGTCTCCTCCTGGGTCTCCCGTGGTCTCCTCCTGGGTCTCCTGTGGTCTCCTCCTGGGTCTCCCGTGGTCTCCTCCTGGGTCTCCTGTGGTCTCCTCCTAAGTTTCCTGTGGTCTCCTCCTGGGTCTCCCGTGGTCCTCTCCTGGGTCCCCCATGGTCCCCCCTGACTGGGGAGTGGCGGCTCCTGTTCTCAGACCCACCTCTCAGCCCTCCTGGTGTTTCTTTCTCATCCGAGCAAATCCCTTTGGGGCCTGTTCTAAGAACAAGTGAATGTATTACCCAGCAGAGAGGCCTGTGGGCAGCCCACAGGAAGGCATCCAGGACAGGGAAACTCAAAGCGCTTCCCTGGTGTGGGGGCGAAGGCCGATGTTTCCGGAGAAGACGTGTTTCTGCCACACTCCACGTGGCTGCCTAGTTCTCCTCTGTCCACACCAGCCCAGCTGTCAGGAAGGGACATTGCGTGGAAGGGGACTCGGGGTGTGGAAGAAAGGCAGGATGAGCCTCGGGGCGGACTCAGGAGCAGAACCACGTGCGTCGTGTGGAGAGTGTCAGTGGACGGAAACCCTCAGTCAGACTTCACAGCATGAACAGCCCAGTGTAAAATAAACTGCCCTGCGTGTCTCCCCCCGTTTCTGCACATAGTGTGTCGAGTGGGCGCTCAGATGACTAATTGCCGCCCTTGGGGAGCAGAGGCTGGGTCCAGGCGGGAACAGTGGTTCTGGTGACATTGTGACAGTTAAACAAAGCAGCGTCTGATTAAGTGAAGGCATCGATTCTCCTAACCTGGAAGGACAGTGGCTTCTGGCCTGGGTGGCCTCAATCTCACTCTTTCCAGGCTCCCTCCAGTGGAAACTTCAAGGTAAGAAATAGGCCAGCGACAAACATGGACAGAACCTCCGAGCCCGAATGTGCTCGTCAAGCTCCCTCTAATGCTGACCAGGTACCAGGCATTCATCAGTCCGTCATATTGCAGTGCGTGACGAAGTCTCCAGGGAAACAGCTGGTGCTGGCAGGTGATGGGCAGACGCAACCAGAGATGGATGAGGGATCGTTCAGAGACAGAGGAGCAAGTGGGCAGACAATAATGGAGAACTGCTGAAAACGGGGCGGGTGTGCAATGGATGGCTGAATAATGGCAGGGTAAATGAAATAATCGGTTAAAACCTAGATGATTGGTGAGGTTAAAATGGGGGGTGGGTGTATAAATGGATGAGAGGGTGGATGGATGATGGATGGACAGATGGACGGATGGATAGAAGAAAGAAGGATGTATAGTAACCTGGGTATATGTTCAGACAAGTGGATGGACGGACGGACGGTTGGATGGATGGATGGATGGATGGGTGGATGGAAGGGAGAAGAATGGATAGTAACCTGTATATGTTCAGATAAGTGGATGTGCAGATGGGCAGATGGGTGGATGGATGGACAGATGGACAGATGACCAGGATGGAAGAGAGAAAGATGTATAGAAACTTGGGTGTATGTTCAGATAAGTGGATGGACAGATGGGCAGATGGGTGGCTGGATGGAAGAGAAAAGGATGGATAGTAACCTCAGCATAATGTTCAGATAAGTGGATGGACAGATGGGCAGATGGGTGGATGGATGGAAGAGAAAAGGATGGATAGTAACCTCAGCATAATGTTCAGATAAGTGGATGGACAGATGGATGAATGAATGGAAGAGAGAAGGATGGATAGTAACCTCAGCATAATGTTCAGATAAGTGGATGTGCAGATGGACAGATGGATGGATGGACAGACGGATGGATAGATGGATGATAAATGGAAAAGAGAAGAATGAGTAGTAAGCTGGGTGTATGTTCAGATAAGTGGATGAGCAGACAGATGGCCTAATGGATGGATGGTGGATGGATTAGTCAGAAGATGGACGGCCATACACACAAATGACAACTTTGATGGTAAATGTTTGACTTAAATCTTAGGGTCATCAGGTTCCCAGGAGACACGCAGGTGGTGCATTAACCCTCACCTGCTGTTCCCAGCAGCCCACACTTCCTGCTTCCACCACTTCCCATGATCGATTCAGACACTCAGGGAATGAGGGGTCACAACCTGAGTCAGCGGGAGGTCAGCCAACCCAGCCAGTGGTGTGGACGCCCCGGGCAGCCCGCACGTGGGCGGTGACTTGAACCTACGCAGGCCACAGGAAGGAATTCAGGCAGTTACGTGGATAATGGGATAAAAATAACTCTACTGGAGCACCCGGAGGACTCGGGACTCATGGACTCTGGCGGCCCCCATCCTCTCTCGGGTCACTCCCCTCCCCGTCCCTGTGCGGGGCCTGATCCAGGGAGCCCCTCCCCTGCGGAGGGCAGTGCTGAGCTGGCCCTGGGTACAGACAGGCCTGAGTGTCCCCATTTCTCCCGCAGGGGAACTGCAGCCCATCCGTCCTCCAAGAGAAACCCGCCACATCCCTGGGTGGAACTCAGACAAGCCACTTCCTATTGATTTCAATTTGCGTTTTAAATAGACAAAGTGGCTCTGGAAGGAAAGCACAAGTTCATCCGTGCTGTGAAATGCCATTTCCGTTGACTCCTTGCATGGGAAGCGTAATTACAGCTCCCTGGGGAGCAGTGGCTGGACCCAGGCCCACCGAGCCAGCAGCTGGAGCAGAAGCGAGTGGGGAACACCTTTGGTTTCCTGGGCACTGGCGGGGACAACGGGACTGCCTGGGAAAAGGAGCTCTCCTCCAACTCAGAGGCCGCTGGACCCTGACCTAGGCCGGCCAGCAGCCTGACCAGCAGCCGTGTCGGCAGCCTTGCCCCAGGAGCAGGGGTTCTCAATCCTGGTGCCCTCTGGAACCCAAGGGGCCTGAGGAAATGCTCGTGCCTGGAGACCACCCGCAGAGATGCGGTGGGCGTGGAGTGAGCACGGGCCCCCAGGGGTAACTACGTGCAGCCGGTGGGTGACCACCTTCCTGGGCGCCTTCTGCCTCCCCACAGAGGCCCACCCTCCCCACACAGACAGAACCCACCCTGCCCCATGCACTGAGCACCAGGGTGACAAAGCCGCATCCACCCGCGGCACGTTCCTTCACGGTGGAAGAAATGTGTGTTGACTGGAGGGGGCTCTGCTTTTCTTGCTGAAATTTTACACGGATCTATCCACAAAGAACACACAGGAAAGGGTGTTTCCAGCAGAGGTGCTGCAGCAATTGCACGTCCCCAGGAAAAGCGGTGAGCTCCGCCCACCTCCCACCACCACGTCCCCAAGCAAAGCCGTGAGCTCCGCCCACCTCCCACCGCCACGTCCCCAAGCAAAGCCGTGAGCTCCGCCCACCTCCCACCACCACGTCCCCAAGCAAAGCCGTGAGCTCCGCCCACCTCCCACCGCCACGGCCCCAAGCAAAGCCGTGAGCTCCGCCCACCTCCCACCACCACGTCCCCAAGCAAAGCCGTGAGCTCCGCCCACCTCCCACCACCACGTCCCCAAGCAAAGCCGTGAGCTCCGCCCACCTCCCACCACCACGTCCCCAAGCAAAGCCGTGAGCTCCGCCCACCTCCCACCACCACGTCCCCAAGCAAACCCGTGAGCTCCGCCCACCTCCCACCACCACGTCCCCAAGCAAAGCCGTGAGCTCCGCCCACCTCCCGCCACCACGTCCCCAAGCAAACCCGTGAGCTCCGCCCACCTCCCACCGCCATGTCCCCAAGCAAAGCCGTGAGCTCCGCCCACCTCCCACGCGCGCAGAGGCTGCCTCAGGGGTGTCGGGACCTACGTGCAAAACGAAAACTCAGACATTTCAGAAGGAACGTTGGAGAAAGCTTTGTGACTTGGGTTAGGCAACGGCAAAAGCACAATCCCTAAAACGGAAATCTGTAAACCTGACTTCATCAAAATTAAAGCTTTTGCTCGTGGAAGGACAGCGTTCGGAGAAGCCAAGACCAGGCACAGGCGCAGGCCGGCGGGAAGCACCTGCAGCTGACAGACCTGACCGAGGCCGTGAATCTGGACCGTGTCAATAACCCCTAAAGCTCAACAATGACAAATCAAAGGGCACGGTGTTTCTAAATGAGCAAAGGCACAGAGACGTTTTCCCAAGTGAGATGTGCACGTGTCGAGCACGTAGCAGAAAAGTCAACGCCACGGATTATTAGGAAAATGCAAACTAAAGTCGCGATGGGGTCACAGCACACGCCTATTAGAATGCTAAATTAACAGACAAGGGAAAGCAGAGAAATGAAGAACACGGGAATGACAGAGGCGCTGCCGACAGAAACGGGCGGCCGCTCCTCCAGCCACACACCCACACGCTCCCCACGGGAGGCCGCAGCCCCTCCCCGGGGACCCGCTGCTGTGGAGTGAAAACCTACGTCCACACAAAAACCGTAGGTAAATGTTCCTGGCAGCTTTATTTGTAATCGCAGAAACTGGGAACAACGCTCGGGTCCCCCAACCAGTGAACGGAGAAGGAGCGGGGCGTCCGTGCGGTGGACACACGGCAGGGAGACGGCAGGGCAGGCCGTGGGTGCGCTCGGCCGCCGGGAGACTCTCAGTGACCCGGGCTGAGGGCGGGGAACCCACCCAGAAGGCTCCCAGGGCACAAGCTCATTTATAGGACGCGCTGGATGGCAGAGAAGCGGCCTGCGGAGGGGAGGGTGAGTGCAGAGGAAGCAGGAAGGATGTGGGGTGATGGGGCTGTTCTGGGGGTGCTTACAGGAGTCAGGGCGGTTGTCCAAACCCACAGAACTGCACACCAACAGGGCACGCAAATCAGAAGACAGGTTTTAATCTGCATCTCCTCTTCCACCCTGCATGCTCTTGGGCACGCTTTTCGTTTGGGATAGAACCTGGCAACCGGTAACCAGTGCAGGCGTCAAGTGCTCCCTGGAGAAATGGGACGCGGTGAGCTGGGAACTGGAGCAGAACGGACGGTGCGGTTTCCCGCTGAACGTTTAAACGTCGATGGTGAGAAGGGGGTGTCTGTGGTCTCGGCGTTACTGGAGACACTGAGAAGAGGATGGGGCAGTTTCTAAAACGTCAATGTTTATAAAACACGAGGAGTTACATTTCTGCAATCATGTCTTCATATTTTAAATGAAAATATTCGATATGAACCAGTGAGAAGATAAGAGGGAGGGGTGGGAGTTCATGAACGTGGTTTAAAGCCCACGGGCGTGGGGGTGTGGGGCGCCTCCAGGCACAGGTGGCAGATCCCCCGAGACGGGAGCAGTTGTTGGGAGGTTGCAGGTGAAGCCGGGGGGTGGCTGGTTGGCGGGGAGCTTGTGGAGGTGGGGAGCCTGCTCTGACCCAGACCCAGGGGCTCGGGAGGATGAGGACAGCACATGTGGGGGGTGGGGCAGGTCCCGCAGCCCTGGATGGATCCAGGCTGCCAGGGCTGAGTCGGCCAAGGCTGTGGGGCGCCCCCCCCCGTTACTGAAAACCACGTCCCCAAGGAAGGTGCGGGAGCCCGGCGAAGTCCAATTTCCCATGAGCACCACACTCTAGAAAGCCCAGACACAAATTCTCTCCCTATGTTAAAGTTCCTTCAACACTTCCTTACCTGCCTTTTGGGGACTTTTCCATGGCGTGTAGAGGTTTGGGACTTTGGGACTTTCAGGACAGTGGGAAGACATCGCAAGCTGTGTAACATGAGAGTGGCGATTCACCCCTGGGGTCACTTCCTGGACATTTGCGGGGCTTGGGAGGTGCCAGGACTGCTGCCCTCTCTCCTGCAGCCGACAGAGACCCTACACAGCAGCCGCTGTCCTCAGCCCCTTCTCCAGATGAGGAAACCCGGGCTTGGGCCTCAGCGGGGCTCCCTGGTCCCAGGGTCCTGGGGTTCCAGGGTCTGGGCCAGGCAAGCCCAGGGCTCTGCTCTGAGCAGACACAGCCTGCTCCTCTCCCCCGTTTCTGGGGCTAGAAAACAATGGTCGCTCCCTCGGAAAGCCGCTCAGCCCTCTGTCTTTGAAATGGCACCGATGTGGACAGTTCTGGGCGCTCCCGGGGGAGACAACGTAACTGAGTCTTCTGGAGACTCAGTGAAATCTGCAGTAGCTCTGGTTTCTCCACGAAGTTGAACAGCTTCCAACCAATCAATTATCAGAACCAAACACAGCATCAGAAAACATCTTGGATGGCGAGACTGGTCTGCACTACAGTTTAACTCTTTTTCCACCTCTGCAATCAGAAATCCCATCCACAGCCTTTAGACTTTGAAACAGCTGATTCCAGCTGAGCCTCATTAATCAGCAGCACCCCCTGGCTGTCTCTTCTTGGGGCTCCTAGGGAGAGGCGCAGTCACTCAGAAAATGAGTCCAGGCTGATGAGTGACACAAATGGGCCAGCGTCCTGGGACTCAGGGGATACATCCACATCCCATGGGATGGAGGCGCACCCAGCTGTCTTCACACAGGCGTCTCGGCCCTTCCGTGCGCTGGGCTTCCCAGCGCTGTCCTCCCTGGGGAACCCGGCAGGCTGCCAGGAGAGAAGCTCAGTGGGCACCCTAGGTGCTGGGCGGGGCCTCTTGTCTGCCAGAGGTTTTTATGAGTCCTGGCTGACGGCAGCCTGGGGGTCCTGGAGAAGACAGCTGAGGGACCGTCTCTGCTGCAGGCCACATACCTGGCTTACTTGGGAGTCCCCTACTCCCCTCTCTGTCCACATAGTCTGGTCTGGGTGGGACTGACTCTGCCCCCAGAGCAGGTGTGCTCCTGTGATCCAGACCTATGAGACTAGAACATTCCATTCCCACGGCCTGGGCAATGGGTTCAGGGGTGGGCACTTGGCTGAACCTGCTTGGAGAAGACAGGTGGCTTCAGTGGACTTACCTCCAAGGAGTCGCTGGCCTGGGAGGGCCCTGGACATAGGAAACCAGAGCCCTGAAGTCAAGCCTGAGCTGCAGGATCACACTGTGCCTGAAGCTGTCCCAGCCTGAGGATTTCAGTGCATTTTCTCTGGGGCCTGGACTGGTCTGGTCTTACCCCGAGGGTCCTGACTCCCGAGCTCCCCCTACAGCCTGTGCAGAAGAGGGTGGATGTGGACACTCTCACACCCAGTGCAGCCACCTGTGGCTAAGCCAAGGACAGTGACGTAACGCTGAATTCACCTCCTGTGTGATGCTGGGACTCTGCTCCTCAACAGAGGCCTCACTCCAAACATGTCTCTGGAGTCTTCGGGGTGCTTCTATCGACCCCAGAGTTCAGTCCTGCCATCTGAGCTGGCCCGGCTGTTGGTAGCTCAGCTCCTGGCCTCCGTGCTGGGGTCTGAGCCCCACAGACGTCCCGGGACCCTCAGCCCAGACCCAGGAGGGATGTAGGGAGTAGAGTGAGGCGCTGCCTCCATCACCCCCCGAGGCCCCGGGAGCGAGTGCAGGGCCCGTCTGTCGCCACCCTCTGCCACACCCGGGCAAAAGTGTGCAGTTCAATGCCAAGGCCAGGGCGGTGCACCTGCGTCTCCCTGCAGAGGCCCTGGGCTTACCGGCCCATTGCAGGCTTGCGGGAAATCACCTGCAGCCGTCACTGTTTTCTAGTCTGCACATGCGGATTTGGGTTTTAGAGCCGACACTCTGTCCCCAGGAGCACAGCCTGTCTTCTCTGTTGGTTTCCTGTGTGACTCAGAGGCCCTCTGGCCTTGGTGGGAGGAAGGGGAGTCGTCCTTGCTGCTGACGCCCCGTGATGGTTCTGGCAGCATAGGGCGCGCATCCTGCAAGGAACCACAGCCAGCATTTTTCAGGCTCAATGGCCCGGGTGCTCACAGTGTGCCCAAGGGTGGGTGTCATCGTCCTCACCCTGCGCACTCACTGTACCCGTCTGCATGGTGAGGGCTCTGACAGGTCCTGCTCTGGACACTGAGGTATAGAGGGAAGCCTTCCTGCCCTGTCCCGGGGAGGCTGCTGGTCACCACCAGGACACAGAAGGAGATGGGCAAGGCCGCAGCCCAGAGAGGGAGGGGGAGGCGGGGGGTAGAGGGGTAGGACTGAGGGTGGCAGTGACAGTGGTGAACCCCAGGTGAGGAGGGGCATGGACTCTCCTGCACATCAATGGGGAGCCACAGAAGGTTGTAGAGGAAGGTCATTCTGCCCCGGGTCCCCAGGGAGCTGAGGCCTCAGCCACAGTCACTCTCACAGCTGGGCCTTCCAGCCCCTCCCACCCTGGAAAATGTGGCCTCTGTTTTTGGTGAGGTCACAGCTGCAGGGATGGCCAGGGGTGCCGGATGCCTCAGGCTGCAAACAGCTTCACCCAATACCCCCTGCTGTGTGGCAGAGGCTAGAAATAGACCCGCAGTGACCCCACGGCAGCCACACAGTGCAGATCGCCTGACCGCAGGCCCCAGGCCACCCCTCCTGCCACCATGGGAGGAAGCCCTGAGCTCAGGGGAGGCTGCTTCCCAAACAAGGCCGCCTTGTGCAGCTCTCTGAGAGCCTTTTATCACCTCCTTCCCTCCCCTGGGATGGCCCAGCTGCAGCCCCTCCTCACCAGCGACCCCTGGGCCCTTTGCCTGGGGGCCAAGCAAGCGGGGAGCAGACAGCAGCGCACCCGGTGAGGAGGGAGAAGAGCCAGACTCCAGGGACCCCCAGCCGCCTGCCAGCTCCTCCACTGCAGTCTCTCCTCCCAGATGCCCAGGCCCCTCAGCTGCCCCGTGCAGGGAGCGGGGCCAGGAGAGGCCTAGGGAGGCCAGGAGCTGCGGCAGCAGGAGAGCCAGGAGGAGGGTGTGGCTGTGTGCAGTCCTGGGCCACATATCGGGTGTGGTCTTACACATGCGTGCCTGTGTGTGCACACAGCCTCAGCCCGCATATCGTGTGCGTGAATGTAGGAAACGTGTGTGAGTGCACGTGTGCACATGCGTGTAGGTGTGCATGTGCCTGTGTGTGTCTCACGTCCGCTGCACAGAGTGCTGGTTCTCAGCCCTGGTTGCAGGCTGGACCCCCTCGGGTGTGGTGGGTCTGGAGCTCTGACAGGGAGTGGCAGGCGGGGCGGATCCCTTGGGAAGCAGCCTGGCAGCGGGGCCCAGAGCTGAAGATCCACTTATCCTGACCCAGCAGTTCCACCACAGACAGGGGCATGTGGGCTCATCAGAAGGTCCTGTCTGCAGCATCACTCATGAGCGCCAGGCTGGAAATCGCTGCAATGCGGATTAATCGTGCAGTGGGTAAATGAGCGGGAACAGCCATGCTGGGCCTCCCCGTCCAGGGGAGCTCTGACCCCCTCTCCCCTGCCCCGAGGAGAGGCTGAGGAGGCGTTTCCAGGCCCGGGAGGGATCTGGCCATCCTGGGAGTGACTGCGGAGGAGGGAGGGGGCTGGCTCAGCCGCAGTGACTGCACAGCTCACCCCACCACCCCCTCCTCCAGGGACAACAAGGGCTCTTGTGTCCGCCTTCCCCAGGGACAGTGCCCCAGTGAGGAACAGAGCCTGGGTCCTAGTGGTCAGGTCTGGTCTCAGTCCTGGGGCTCTGGGCAGGGCTGGGGGCACCACTGCAGGGCTGCAGTGAGGGGACGGAGCTCTCTGTGCACCAGGCTGGACCCTCTGCCCTCTCCCGGGACAGGCAGATCTGCCACCTGCTGAAAAGGGTCCCTGGGCTGTGGACAGGCACCATATCTTGCACTGCCGTGTGGTTCTGAGGCAGACAACAGGTGTCCCTTGTGTCCCTCCAGGACTCACCTGCCTGTCTCTGTACTTCTCTGCCAGGTCACCCCTACTTCGTGCAGGTGATTCAGAGGTGGGGAAACCCGCTTCCCAATCAGCGTATTTCATACTGTGGTCCTGGGATTGGCTCAGAATGGCCATGTGACCCAAGCTGGTCCAATCAGAATGTGCCTGGGACTTTTCCTGAAACCCCCGGGGAAGGGAAGCTTTTCCTTGAGGTTGCTCAGCTGAGAGGAGCAGAGTCAAGCTCTCTGAGGCCGTTTCCAGGCTGCCTTCCCCATGAGGGACATGGCAAAGCGAAACAGCCCTGAGGATTTCCAGGGCTACAAAAGTGTTTTAATTTCTTTTAAAATTAGAAGAGTGAGCTCTTAGGTCAAAGATAGCATTTTAATATAAAATATTAGACTATTCATCTTTATACCATTTGTAAAATATAAGTTTAAAGATGATTTTATGGAGGAAGGAGCCGACAAATGCAAAAGGGAAAGTCCTTTCAAACAGGATTAAGCAGGTGGTTCCAGAACTGCGTGCACACGTGTGTGTGTCTGTGTGTGCATGCGTGTGTGTATGCATGGTGTGCCTGTGTGTGTCTGTGTGCATGCACGTGTCTGCACATATGCACCTGAGCATGCATGCATTCTGTGTATGTGCATCTTGTACACACACATGTATGCATGTCTGGTGTGTGTGCATGTGTCTGTGTGTGCATGCGTGTGTGTATGCATGGTGTGCCTGTGTGTGTCTGTGTGTGCATGTGTCTGTGTGTGTGCACGTGTCTGTGTGTGCATGGTGTGCCTGTGTGTGTCTGTGTGCATGTGTCTGTGTGTGCATGTGTGTGCATATGCATGGTGTGCCTGTGTGTGTCTGTGTGCATGCACGTGTCTGTGTGTGCATGGTGTGCTTGTGTGTGTCTGTGTGCATGCATGTATCTGCACATATGCACCTGTGCATGCATGCATTCTGTGTATGTGCATCTTGTACACACACATGTATGCATGTCTGGTGTGTGTGCACGTGTCTGTGTGTGCATGCGTGTGTGTATGCATGGTGTGCCTGTCTGTGTGCATGCACGTGTCTGCACATATGCACCTGTGCATGCATGCATTCTGTGTATGTGCATCTTGTACACACACATGTATGCATGTCTGGTGTGTGTGCATGTGTCTGTGTGTGCATGCGTGTGTGTATGCATGGTGTGCCTGTGTGTGTCTGTGTGCATGCACGTGTCTGCACATGTGCACCTGTGCATGCATGCATTATGTGTATGTGCATCTTGTACACACACATGTATGCATGTCTGGTGTGTGTGCATGTGTCTGCACATATGCACCTGAGCATGCATGCATTCTGTGTATGTGCATCTTGTACACACACATGTATGCATGTCTGGTGTGTGTGCACGTGTCTGTGTGTGCATGCGTGTGTGTATGCATGGTGTGCCTGTGTGTGTCTGTGTGCATGCACGTGTCTGCACATATGCACCTGAGCATGCATGCATTCTGTGTATATGCATCTTGTACACACACATGTATGCATGTCTGGTGTGTGTGCACGTGTCTGTGTGTGCATGCGTGTGTGTATGCATGGTGTGCCTGTGTGTGTCTGTGTGCATGCATGTGTCTGCACATATGCACCTGAGCATGCATGCATTCTGTGTATGTGCATCTTGTACACACACATGTATGCATGTCTGGTGTGTGTGCACGTGTCTGTGTGTGCATGCGTGTGTGTATGCATGGTGTGCCTGTGTGTGTCTGTGTGCATGCACGTGTCTGCACATATGCACCTGTGCATGCATGCATTCTGTGTATGTGCATCTTGTACACACACGTATGCATGTCTGGTGTGTGTGCATGTGTCTGTGTGTGCATGTGTGTGTGTATGCATGGTGTGCCTGTGTGTGTCTGTGTGCATGCACGTGTCTGCACATATGCACCTGTGCATTCATGCATTCTGTGTATGTGCATCTTGTACACACACATGTATGCATGTCTGGTGTGTGTGCATGTGTCTGTGTGTGCATGTGTGTGTGTATGCATGGTGTGCCTGTGTGTGTCTGTGTGCATGCACGTGTCTGCACATATGCACCTGTGCATTCATGCATTCTGTGTATGTGCATCTTGTACACACACATGTATGCATGTCTGGTGTGTGTGCATGTGTCTGTGTGTGCATGTGTGTGTGTATGCATGGTGTGCCTGTGTGTGTCTGTGTGCATGCACGTGTCTGCACATATGCATCTGAGCATGCATGCATTCTGTGTATGTGCATCTTGTACACACACGTATGCATGTCTGGTGTGTGTGCATGTGCTTGTGTGTGCATGCGTGTGTGTATGCATGGTGTGCCTGTGTGTGTCTGTGTGCATGCACGTGTCTGCACATAGGCACCTGAGCATGCATGCATTCTGTGTATATGCATCTTGTACACACACATGTATGCATGTCTGGTGTGTGTGCATGTGTCTGTGTGTGCATGCGTGTGTGTATGCATGGTGTGCCTGTGTGTGTCTGTGTGCATGCACGTGTCTGCACATGTGCACCTGTGCATGCATGCATTCTGTGTATGTGCATCTTGTACACACATGTATGCATGTCTGGTGTGTGTGCATGTGTCTGTGTGTGCATGTGTGTGTGTATGCATGGTGTGCTTGTGTGTGTGCACATGTGTGTGCCCCTCTTGAGACAGTTCTGCGAGTCCCCCCGTGGGTCTGGAGGCTGTGGGCAGGGCTGGTCCTGGGGAGCACTGTTTCCTTTTCCGTGACTGGCTTTCCCCTGAGGAGCGCCCTCCCGGAACCTGGCTGGCTGCTTTCACCCCAGCCCCGCTCCTCCTGTGCCAGGAACCTCCTCCTCATCTCCTCCTCAGCCACACAGCTGGTTCAGCTCACCAGGCCTGCCCTGAGATGTATCGGGGAGCAGGGGGAGGTGAAGTCAAACATCCCATCTGCTGTCCACGTCCTCAGGTTCACCGCCAAGTTCCAGCACTGCCCAGTCCCCGCACTGAGGGCAAACAGCCTCCCGAGTGCAAATCTCACTCCTTGTTTGCTGTCACTGAGAGTCTTTCTGGATCTCTCATTTGCTCTGCAGAATCATCCGTGTAGAGAGGGGCCTTAGAAGTTTTCAGAGTGTGGGTCCTCCAGGATGGCTGAGTGGAATGCAGAGGGAGGAGCGTGGAAAAGTGCACGCATTTTGGGAAACTTTCCAGCAGTTTTACAGGAGCCTTGAGCCTTGGAGGAGGCAGAAAGGGAGATTAGTTTCAGCTTAGCGTGCACTGCTCTCTGGGGATAGCGCTGACTTTCTGAAGACTTTATCAGATTAGAAGGCTGATGAGAGCCTGCTTAAAAATGCAAATTCCTAGGTCCCAGCCCAGACTCTGGGATCAGAATATGGGTGCAAGAGACCCAGGCACTTGCGTCTCAGCAGCCTCCCAGGTGATTCGGATGGTCACGGAAGTGGGAAGAGCAGGCTCCTGGAAGGACTGGTGGCATGTGCACAGTTGAAACATTGTTTGTTCACTCACTCATTCGGCAGGTGCCAGCCCTGCCTCTGGTGCTGAACCAGGACCCATGCTCCCAGCACTCACCTTCCAGTGGAGGAGACAGATTGTATCCCTGTGAGTCCCGCACCGGCCAGAAGGGACACAAAGGGTTAACTGAAGAGGGCTTAATAAAGGGCACAGGTCAGGGCCGTGGCTGTTTATGACAATATGACAAAACCCAAGAGGTCTGTGGGTGACAGCATCTGAGAATCTAGAGGCCTCCTGAAGCTTCTGAGTCTCCCCAAGGGCAAAGCTGAAGAGCTTTCCAGGCCAAGGGTCCACGAATGGCATGGTGCAGGCAACTGCAGGTGTGTCCCCTCCTCAGGGGCTGCGGTTGCAATGGGAGGTGGCCATGGCATCAGGCGCTGCTGCGTCCTGCAAGTGACCCGCCTGCCGTTAGTCACTGATGGCGTCTGGAATTTCTCTATCACACTTGGGCCCACCATGTCTTCGCAGCAGCACAGATGGTCCAGCAAATCAGAGGCCCTGGGGGACAGGACCCAGCGCTGAGACGGTGCACAGGACAAGCCTGGCTGCCCGCCTGCCTGGAGGGTGACTCTGGTGACTGTGACTCTGGCTGTCCTCTGCTTGTACTGGAGCACATGGGCCCAGGGATGAGCCCTGCATGAACTTCAGAGACCAGGGGTATGGGGGAATCCCTGGGTTGACATCAGAAACAAGCCATCAGTGCTGGTGAGAAGGTACAGGGAGGCCCTGGCCGCTGCAGAGGATCCCATGAGCCCCCAGAAGCTGCTCCCAGGCACGGCACTTACCCCTCAGCCTCTGTCTCGGACCTGACTCCTCCATGCAGCCAACACTACAGGATGTCAGCGGTGTCTTTAAGGCCATGAGGCTCCCAAACCAACTGTCCTCTTCCCATCACAGTCACTTCCATTCCCAGGACATACTGGGAGCTCTCACGCAAGCGGGACCTCGGACTGGTCCTCAGCCGACCAGTCCTGGGGTGCAGCCAGGGACCACACTGGGAGCTCAGCCCTCTCCTGCCTGCCCACCTCCACTCTAATCTCCACCCCCACCTGGCACTGTGTCCGGTAAGGCTGTGACTCCAGGCAGGAAGCAGCTTGCCTGCTGGGAGAAAGCCTGTGCCAGGCTGTGAGTTCAGGAGCTTTCCATGGAAGGAGCCGGGTACACAGGACCCCAGCCAGGGGCCAGAGGGTGCCCAAGGGTGTTGGCAGTGGGAGCCTCCAGGGCCCTGAAGGTTTATTGGAGCTGCTGTGGAAGCAGAGCTGGTGCCTGGCTCTGTGTGGAGACCTCCCCTTCCCCAGGGCAGAGTGAGCTCCTTCCCATGGGATTTCCAATAAAGTTACTGAGAACTTAGACGTGTTTCTAACCCGGGATTCATCATTTCACCAAAATGTATCTACTGAGCACCTACTGCATGCCACGTGCCATGCCTGGCTTGAGAAACAGAGGAACAAGAAGGGCAGGGCACATCTGCAGAGCCTGTGTGCTGGGAGGTCGACAGGGCAGGATCCATGAGCAGGTCGGGGCCACGTGACCCCTGGCTGGAGATAGGGTGCGATCCGGGAGCGGGAGGGGGCCACGTGACTCCTGT